TTGCCAGGCCTTTCTTCCACAGTACCACTGGCTGAGTTCAAACTGCCAAGCTTTTGGTTAGTAGCTTACAGCAAACAGTTTGTGCCACCCGGGGACCGTGAAGAAATGCAAAAGCACTTTTAAACTATAAAGTGTCAGACACCTGAAAGACATCCTTGACCCATCACCAGAATGATTTTCTGAAAGAGAAACCTGATTATGTCACTGCACTTCTAAAAAATCTTTCTGTGGTTCTCCACCACTTACAGCATAAATAGTCCAGCCTTCTCAGTATTGCACGGAGACCCTTACAGTTTCTACCATGCCCTTCCGAATCTCATGCTTTGGCTACACACATTACTAACAGTTCCCATTTAGACACATCTCCCTACCTTTGTTCTTGTGGTTCCATCCCTCAAAAACCTTCACTTTCACTAATTCCATCAAACTCTTAAGGTTTAGCTCTAGTGGCACTTCCTCTCAGAAGCCTCTCATGAACCCCTGCCTCTTCTCTTTCCCCAGGTTAATTAAACTCTCCTACTAAGATTGTGTGTCAACTTGGCTGGGGCATGATTCTCTCCCCTGTGTGATCACTCCCATGATGGAATCTGCTGTGAGTAGCCAATCAGTTGAAAGAGAGTTTCCTTGGGGGTGTGGCCTGCATCCAAATATAAGCAGACGTTCTGGCTTTTTCCTCGCTCTGGATCCTGCAGCTGCTTCCTGTTCATCTGACCTCCGGTTCTTGGGACCTGAGCTATCAGCTTATATGCGAATCTTGGGATCCATCAATCTTAAAAGACTGTGAGCAGGAGCCCTGCACTCTGACCTACCCATCTTGGGTTCGCCAGGCCCTGCAGCTACATGAATCGGGAGAAGCCTCTATCTTGATCCACAGACTTGGGACGTTCCAGCCTCTACAACCACATGAGCTGTTTCCTTGATATAAATATCTCTATATGCATATTTATACACTTTATTGGTTTTGCTTCTCTAGAGAACCCAGCCTAAGACACCTACTAACTGAAATAGTTAGCCAGATTCAGAAGAGGACATAGAACAAGGGATACCACTGCTGATGTCTGATGGATCTTGACTGAAAGCAGAGAATACCAGAAAGATCTTTACCTGTGTTTCACTGACTATGCTAAGGCATTTGACTTTGTGGATCATAATAAATTATGGATAATATTGCAAAGAATGGGAATTCCAGAACACTTAATTGTGCTCACAAGGAACCTGTACACAGACCAAGAAGTAGTCATTCGAACAGAACGAGGGAATACTGCATGGTTTAAAATCAGGAAAGGTGTGTGTTAGGGTTGTATCCTTTCACCATACTTATTCAGTGTGTATGCTGAGCAAATAATCAGAGAAGCTGGACTATATGAAGAAGAATGTAGCATTAGGATTGGAGGAGACTCGTTAACAACCTTCGTTATGCAGATGAAACAACTTTGCTTGCTGAAAGGGAAGAGGACTAGAAGCACTTACTGATGAAGATCAAAGACCACAGCCTTCAGTATGCATTATACCTCAACATAAAGAAAACAAAAATCTTCACAGCTGGACCAATAAGCAACATCATGATAAATGGAGAAAATATTGAAGTTGTCAAGGATTTCATTTTACTTGGATCCACAATCAATGCCCACGGAAGCAGCAGTCAAGAAATCAAACGATGTACTACATTGGGCAAATCTGCTGCAAAAGACCTCTTTAAAGTGCTAAAAAGCAAAGATGTCACTTGGAAGACTAAGGTGTGCCTGATCCAAGCCATGGTATTTTCAGTCGCCTCATATGCGTGTAAAAGCTAGACAATGAATAAGGAAGACTGAAGAACTGATGCCTTTGAATTGTGATGCTGGCGAAGAATACTAAATATACCATGGACTGCCAGAAGAATGAACAAATCTGTCTTGGAAGACGTACAGCCAGAATGCTCCTTAGCAGCAAGGATGGCAAAACTTTGTCTCTCATACTTTGAACATGTTGTCAGGAGGGACCAGTCCCTGGAGAAGGACACCATGCTTGGTAAAGTAGGGGTCAGAGAAAAAGAGGAAGACCCTCAATGAGATGGACTGACACAGTGGCTACAAAAATGGGCTCAAACATAGCAAAAATTGTGAGGATGGTACAGGAGTGGGCAGTGCTTCATTCTCTTGTACACAGGGTCGCTGTGAGTCGGAACCAACTCAACAGCATCTAACAACTAACTGAAAGGTTGATGGTTCAAACCCACCCAGATGTTCCTCAGAAAAAAAGTCCTGTCGATCTGTTTCCAAAAGTCACAGCCTTGAAAACCCTGTGGAGTACACGGGGTCATCATGAGTCTGAATCAACCGGACAGCAACTGATTTGACATTTGGGGTTTTATGGGTTCTCTTAATACTGTTTACAGCCCTTATAACTAATCTCTCATAGCATATTGTAATTGTCTAGCAACACCTCCATTTATCACATTAGACTATGACTTCTGTAACAGCAGAACTGTGTGGTATTCTTCATTTTATTGCAGGGGGTCAATAAGTATTTGTTAAATTTGAATGAATAAAGGTATCCCACTGCTGACACAGTCTCTTTGATTCCACAGACATATCCATATTCAATTCTACTTCTATGACCTTGAAAACAAACAAAAATATTAAATTCCCAGCTTTTTTATTCTAAGTAATGAGCACATCCTCACATCATTTCCAAATCTCATCCCATCTCTTCTAAAAGATGAATTTCAGAGATGGGGTAAATTTAGGGGGTAGTGTGAAAATGTCTAGTAAAATTAGAAGCCAAAAATTCAATGGTATGTTTTCCAAATTTCCACAGCACCATATTCCCTTAGCAACCCTGTTCCCTTATTTTCATACTGGGTGATCAGTAGCCACTTTAACACATAATATATTTGAATCTCATAATTTAGCCACATATTGAATTAAAAAGATATTTTTAGACTGCCCCTTAAGTATATCCTCCATTTATGGTTACTGTTTATGATTTCTGTAGCTAACAGCCAATTTACCAATATCTCTATAAAACACAGTACACTTCTACACTGGGGCTACTTCTACTGTATTTGTTTTGTTTTATTGTTTTTTTCTGTTTTTGAGGAATTAATGTAATCTTAAAAGTACCTAACTCTGAGGTCTTAAATGCATCACTGCCACCAACTTCAGAGCTATCCCCACAAATCATTCAGTGAATGTTTTATAATGAATAAAACATGGTCCCTGCCCTGAAGCAGTTTATAGTCTACTAATACCATCAGCATCTGTATGGTACACCACATCCATTAGGACCCCCAATTCTTCAATTTCTTTCCCACCTACTAGTTAAAGTTAATACCACCAAGTTTTCATGACTTCCTACTGAGTAGTCTTTCCCATTTTATAGGATTTCATTACCCCTGACAAACACCTGCCCTGGTCTCCTCTCAGAACCTTCCCTCACCACTAAAAGCAAAATACCCATCTCTGCCACCACTATCAAAACTCTCAGGCCAGAAGCACCTTCTACCTTCCATAAAATTGCACAGAAGAGGTATCTTGTTTTTATGCCCCAGGTTTTCCATGAGGCCCAAGAACTCACACAAACCCTCCTTTAATCCTAACCCTATCTTTCCCTCTCAGGTAAGCCACACACCTGGAACCAGCAGCATCTCCTCCTCCTCTGCTGTGTGCCTCATACCTGTAGGAGGTTCTTGACAGGACAAGAAATCAGGCCTCAGTGACTAAACATTTTTTGGTACTTGTGGAGGGCAATGAGAGTCAGGTCTGCCCCTGTTCTCTCTCACTTGGCTCCCGATAGTCTCCATCCTCCCCTCTTCTCCCTTTCCTCATTCTACCCCTCCTTTTCAAAGGCCTGGGTCAGAACAGCCAGCATCTCACAACAGAAGCCAGAAGAAGCTCAAGGCTGTTGCCCCAGAAACCCTGACTAGAGAATGGCTGGCTAGGCACTGTTTGTTTTTCCCATAATCACAAAAATCCTATTCGGGGGGACACTAGGGGGACTCTCAGCCTCATTCCACCATGCTGCCTTGGTGGCTGGGATCTGGGCTGGTCTCCCCTACCCACCTAGGGGAAGAGAAAGTACCAACGCTGCATTATAGTGGGAGGCAAAAGGGGTTGTGGGAGGGGGCCAGGAGCTGAGAGTTGGGGAGACAAGAGGAAAGGAGAAAAGTACTTGGCCTTTGGCCTCTACGAGAGAGTCCCCAGTGACATACTCCATCCTGCCCCATTAGCTTTTCAAAAATTATTGAGGGAATGGAGGAACAACAACCCCTGGAAGCAACTCTCACCCACAGAACACATACACACAAACTGCATACACCATGCAAGGTTCGCGGATTGATTTCCACAGTATTCTCAGCTTTCAGCTAGTAAAACAAGCCATCACTTCTGGCTCAGCTTTTAAGGCCAGTGCAAGGGAACACCGGGTAATACAGAACAGAAACACTGGCACCTCCCATACATTAATTACTCAGGAATGCATGACAACTAAACCCTCAAAGCACTAGAGACAAAAAGCTGCTATTGCCCCATGATACTGACAGACATGCTACATTTTAAAAAAATGACACACAAGTTGTTGGAATAATACTTCTCCATCCTGGGTACCAAAAAACATGAATCTATCTGAGTTAATTCTGCGTAGCTCAGTGCCTCTGGGCAAAAATGAAAATGAAGGCTGCTCTCTCATAGCTTCCCGCAATTATACTAGGAATCAAATATACTAATTGTCATAGTGGCTACTGCACTTAAATATGAAAGTTTAATGCAGATATCTGTAAATACTTCCTTGCATTTCAAAGGTATCGATTCATCCAACCAGAAGACAAGGCCAAACAGCTTAGTCACCAGCAGGCACAGCAACCCGCTCTATCAATAAAAACAGGGCAGAAAGTAAACACAGTCATCCTCCTCCCCCACCTTGAGCACAAATCTCTGCCCAGTGCATCAACTCCCAGAGTGCAGATGGGTGAATGTCTGCAACTCTCATCTCCCACTACATCCCCTCCCTGATGCTCTTACCTGCTATCCTAAGCACTGCCCTCTCAGCGGGGTCCAGCACTGAGCCCCCATGAATCTTTCTTTTTGATCTCTCATGTTTAGGTAAATTCCACGGTAGGGTGTCTCCCGGAGCTGGAGATGCCGAGCCAGATTTCTGGCTGAAATCATCCTCATCGGAAAAATCCGCAGAGGAAGACATAGAACAGCGATAGGATGCGTTCCCGGAACTCTACAGAGGATGACACAGAAAAAAGCATTAACAGCAAAACACTCGCATAAGCTCATCGATTAAACATCCTCTCCCCGACCCCTCCCAGCTGGGTCTGGCATCCCGAAACCATCCTCAGAGCTGAGAGAATAAACAAAATAAAAATGAAACCCAGGGCTCACCATCTTTTCTTGGCCAAGTCTCCGATGGTAAAAACAATACCCAAGCAGTTCCAATACATGAAGATTTTCACGGAAGAAGTGTGTGGCCTGCGGTCCGGCCACCAGCTCACGAATGACTGGCCCAACAATGAAGCCAGAATCAACAGCCTTCCTGTTACAAATCTATAGTATTTGGCTCCCCCACCAGGACAGGAGAAACATTTTCCATTACTAGACTGCTGGTTAATTCATTAATGCAACTAACTCGAAGTTTCAAAAACAAAGCACAAATGCAGGATGTTGAGCCTCAATTCCTTTCCGCTTCAAGACTCACCGCTGGCGTCTCCTTTCTGACCAGGCTTGATCCCCTTCTCCTCTTTATTTAATTTTCTTCATGAAACTGAAGCAAGTTCCCAGAAAAAAGCAAGGAGGGAGGAAGAGCTGATTCTGAGAATAGCCGTTTCTTAAGACTGAGAGAGCACAAAAGGCTGTTTTCAAAAGCCGAAGGTGGCTCCAATAAACAAACATCTGAACTCAGTTTAGCGCTCTTGAGATAATTTAAACTTCTAACAAAGTAACAGCTGCCAATAATGTAAATGAGAATGATGCAGTGCAGTGACAGGAAGCAGAAACCCGTCTCAGCTCCTGGTCATTACACAGTGAAAGGAGAAACACGATGCTTTCACAGAAAGCACTTGGCCGGAAGGTTAGTCCTTCCTTCTTCCTTCATCCAACAGAAGCCAATCTGCAGGGTCATCTCCTGCAAAAGGGTTATTAGAGCTGCCATACAGAGAAAAGACACAAGATAGTATTCCTGCCTTCCTTCTTTATTGGGTTCTGTCTGTGATTATTTTAGAAAGCCACAGGCTTACTAAGGAAATAAGGACGCTGACTGCATCTGTGCTGTGGTACAGGGTTATAAGAAATTAAGTTTTAAAGGGATGTCTTCACTTTGCCACTTAGAATTCTGCTTTGCTGAGGCTCACAGTGAAGATGCGAAACTGGTATAGCTTAAACTCCTGAAACGTAACTTGCAGCCATGGATTCCTAAGAAGCAAGTTGCAAGCAGGAATCAGTGAGGCATGCTCCAATTTGAGCAAAAACACTAGGCTGTTTACAAAAGCAGTGGCAACTGCAGCGAAAACAAGCTGTGTGAGCAATATCCCAAAGCACTCACCCAAGGCACATGAAATAAGCTATGATCAATCAGGACTATTGACCTTACCTCAGTCTATTCAGGCATGTTGCTACACAAGGTCAACACCATCATTTTAAAAGCACATATGATATTTATTGCAAAGTAAGATGTGTAAAATTTATCATTAGCTCCATTTTTTCCCCTAAAAAAAGCAGGCTTCCATTTTATTTTACATGACATTTCATCTCTTTAATTTTTAATTTATTTATTTAAATTTTGTATGTTTTCCTAGTGGCAATAATGTATTAAGGAAACTTGAGGCAAATAAATAAATAAAACTGATTTCCTGTATTGCAGCTAGAGTCTACAGAGAGTTGTATACGGCATTAAGTCAGTCACAGTATGCTATTCTCAAACTAATTTATTTTCTATGCTTCTCTGAAAATCCACCTTGAGCTCTCTGAGGTTCTGTGGTTGGCTGGATGCATGGAAAAGGGTGACATTCTTAAAGACTTTAAAAGAGTACTGGGTTTCTTTGGTTGCCTTCTATCTTCCTTAAAATGGCTTCCTACCTGTCCTTACTTAAGTTCATCCTTTATCTGTGAGATTATATTTCTTATTGTTGCCTGTACTATTTTAGTGAGTATAGTAATTTGATTGTTTATCTTTACAGAGAGACCTAGACAGGGAATAACTGGAAAAAGAACTGCTACTTTCCAAAAACCACTGGTTATTGATTTTTGTGGAATAAATTTTTTTAATGACCAGAGTCTCAGCTGAGTGAACAACAAAATGTGATTCATGCCCTGACATAAACACCATTAATCACACATAGCCAGATGGGAACAGTTACTACCCCTGGACCCAAGGGTGTTGACAAGTGCAGCCTTTAATCTGGTAGTGTCATTGGTAAACAGATAAGACAGAAAAGAAAGAAGAGGCAATCAGCAACACCTCTTTCAGCAACGTATCACAGGAAAATAAACACACACACAAACTGAGGGAAATCGTACACGTTTATATATGGTTACGTCTCTCCAGGATATACGACTCAAGAGTTCAAATAATTAAAATACTAGGTTTATTTCACAAAATTTTCATGGATGCTTTCTTAAAAACATAAGGTAAACTATAAAAAAATTAGACCCATTTAAACTCTGAAAACTGAGAATAGATGTAAATGAAGCTACTTTGAAGTGGATTGATCCTATAAGACTATTATACTCTTTATTGATTTGAGATGACTTGCCAATTCATGTCACTATCTTGGGAGTTAGGGGGAAGGGTGTGTGATACAGTCTCTCTTTTCTTTTGGCAAAAGCAAACATGTTCTCTGACTCAAAATCCAGAGCCTAACCTTTGATGTGGGGTTTGGAAGGGTAGGACAAAGGAAAAGGGTTCCTGTGACCAGCAAAACCCACAGGTTCCTATCTATTATTCTACTTTGTTGCTTAAGGTTTGATTCCTGTTAAAATACAGATATCTATGTCCATCAATAGGGGATTGGTTAAATAAATTAGAGTATATCCACACAATAGGTTACTCTGCCCATTTAAACAAAAACACTGTAGATCTACATTTAGCAACATGGAAAGAGGTCATATAGAACAATCCCTTTCTTGCAAATTAAAAAAATATATATAAATATATATATTTACGTATAACTATAAATGTGTGTGTGTATATATACACACACATACATATAAAGACAGATACCAGTTACTAGTATGTTTACCAGTATATAAACATAAATAGTGGTTGTCTCTGGGTGATAATTAAGATTATAAATGAATTCAATATTATTCCTTATAATTTTATAATCCAAAACAAACACACACACACACACACATAAAAAGATTTAAAAAAAGAAGAAAAGAAAAGATACTATGTTAAGGGTCAGAGAAAATATCAAAGACCCTATGAAGAAGTAACTATTTAAGCCAGTACTTTTAATCATTTTGGGCTCATGGACACCCCTAAGGAGCTGATGAAACCCATAGAAACTGCTCTCTAGAAAAAAGCACATAAGCGAATACACACAAATTTTGCACATAATTTTATGGGGTTCATTGACCCATTGACCCCAGGTTAAGAATCCAATTTACACCATCATGCATCATCACCACTTGACATGCATGTTGAGAACAAGAGGAACAGGAAAAGGGCTGTGGAGTAAGCATGCCAGAGAGGGGAAAGAGTAATCAAGGTGGGGAAGACAAAGCTGGCCTAGGTCATATATTTTTAACATTTGGCCTCTTTTTCACAAAAGACCCTAAGCCACCTCTGAACTGATGTTGGATCATTACAACCAAAACAACCTTAGGTTGTGATCAACCAAAAAACCCTAGATGGTGTTTTATACAACTTAGTTATTAAAGCAGTTTTAACAATTGAATTAGACTACCATAAGCTTTTAACTGAATTGCTAATAGCCAATTCCTCTGCATGGAATAAAAACAGCCAAAATTTCCTAAAGCCAGGATACTTACATAATGCAACATTTTTAGCAGAGGAAGTGAACAATAACTTTTCTAATTGAAACCCCGGTGGGGGATCTGAGGTAAGTACAATGGAACTACCTAAATTGGAACCAGGCCAGCCTTCGCACCCTGATGTATAGGAAAGTGCCAGGAAATTGTCTCTGCACTAGGCATTCCCTGAATGTGATGGAGAAAACAAGAGCAGAGATAAGAGTTTGTTAAATAGCCAGACTTTCAGAACTCTAGAGTCTGGAAAGTAAACTTTCAAAGACCCATATACTTATGATTTATGCACATTTCTGTATGTATGTTATTCTTCAAAAAAATTCAAAAAACATATAACAAAACATTTAGATAAATCCAGATTGTGAGGTCGCCTACAAGCTATCTGTCTTGGACTCTTTAAACAGGTCAATGTTATAAAACATATACAAAAAGCTAGGGACTGTTCTAAATTAAGAGAGACAAAAGAGGCATAACACAAATTCATGAACCTCGACTGAATTCTGATTTTTTTTCACTAAAAAAATATTTTAGGAGCAGTTGGAAAAATCTGAACACGGGTCATGGATTGTTTATTAGATGATATTAAGAAACTGAAGCCCTGGTGGCGCAGTGGTTAAGAGCATGGCTGCTAACCAAAAGGTCAGCAGTTCAAATCCACCAGCAGCTCCTTGGAAACCCCATGGGGCGGTTCCACTCTGTCCTACAGAGTTGCTATGAGTCGGAATCAACTCAACAGCAATGAGTTTGGTTTGGGTTTTTGGTATTAAGAAATTATTCTTAATTTTTTTAAGTACCATAATGGTATTGTTGTTATGGAGCAAAGTGTTCTTATCCTTAAGAGATGCAGGGTGAAGAAACCATTATGTCTGTACTTATTTTCAATTGTTTTGAAAAAAGAGAGAGAGAGAGAACTAGCAAAATGTGACAACAGGTTAACAAGTATTCATTGTACTACTCTTTCTACTTTTCTGTAAATTTGAGTATTTTCAAAATGAAGAGTTGAGGGGAAAACATAGCAAGACTTTTTACAGTTTCATTAAGCATTGCTTTGAATTATGGTGTTGGCGAAGAATATTGAATATACCATGGACTGCTAGAAGAACGAACAAATCTGTCTTGGTAGAAGTACAGCCAGAGTGCTCCTTAGGAACAAGGATGACGAGACTTCATCTCACACACTTTGGACATGTTATCACGAAGGACCAGTCCCTGGAGAAGGACATCATGCTTGGTAAT